AAGGTTAAGACATCTTCCACTTACCAAAGGATGAAAGAAGTTCCTCACCCAAAGTAGCCACGTTCTCATAATTCTCCACCATGACCTCCTTGTACAATGCCCTTTGCTCCGGGTCCAACAGAGTCCACTGGCTCTCGGTGAAATAGACAGCCACATCCTCAAAGGGTATTGGCCTCTGCAGGAAGAGACACACACTGTACCTGTCTCACGGGCTCCATCAGAGACACAGAACACAAAGCGGCCATTTGAGACTGTGTTTTCCCAAAAATAAGACAGGATCTTATATTAATTTTTGCTCCAAAAAACACATTACGGCTTATTTTCAGGGGATTTTTTTTTCATGTACAACCATCTATATTTATTCAAACACAGTCATGTCATCTTCTGGTTGCTGCACAATGGTGGAGGGCGGGGTTTCACTTAATTGGGGCTTATTTGGGGGGTAGGGCTTATATTAAGAGCACCCTGAAAAATCATACTAGGGTTTATTTACAGGTTAGGTCTTATTTTAGGGGAAACAGGGTAGAAAACCTTAGTCTAGGGTAGGGGTCAGCAATTTGTGGCCCTCCAGCTGTTGTCAAACTGTACCTCCCATCATCTCCCATCACTGGCAAGGGCTGATGGGAGTTCAACAACATTTGGACAGCTGCCCGCTGCCCACCTCTTATCTACATATCCCTGACTTCGCCCACACACCCCAGTTTGTAAATACCTATCCTCTTGGTATGCAAGCTAACTTTTTTCCCAACCAAAGAGCAGACTCAAACTGGACTCCATACCAAGGGCCACACCCAGCAAGGCCCTGCCTGAAAAAGCACCCTAGGCCACCCACATTTTTCTAGTTGCAACCTATTTCTCAGTCTCAGACAGTGATGGGCATTTTTTAAATTATCATATCATTATTATCATTATTATCATTATCATTATTATCATTATTATTATCATTATCATTATCATTATCATTATCATCATCATCATTATCATTATTGTCGTCATCGTCATTGGCTGTTGTTAATCATTATCATCATCATCATTATCATTATTGTCGTCATCGTCATTGTCATCGCTGTTGTTATTTCTCCTTATAATGGTAGGGTAGGGTAAGGGGCAGCTGGGATAAGGATACCATCCAAGGGGGTGTATTTGAATGGACACATTACAAATAAATATTTTTCATAATAATTCTATATATTCTCTTCTAGAAATAGTTCCACATATCATAAAGAAATATAGACAGTGTGCGAGAGGGAAAAATCAAATTCAGACAGATATATTATTATAATTATTGATTATGTAGCTGATAGTATTTATCCATCATTTATTCTGTCTCTTCTGCAGCCATACAGATAACTATGTATAAGCCCATTATTCTATCTACCATGTATATAATTGCAACCAAATTTTCTGATGGTCTTTTTTCTTTTTTTCATCTAGCCAATCTGGCAGTATGACCATTTCTGTGGTTTCAAGTATTTTATCTATCACTTCATCTGTTTGTGGTGTTCTAGGTTCTTTCCAGTGTTTCGCAAAAACTATTCTTGCTGCTGCTATAATATGGATAGTTAAATATGATTTTTCAGAGTCTAGTATATCTGGCAATATGGCCACTGGTCCCATCACCTCCTGGCAAATAGATGGGGAAGAGATGGAGGCAGTAACAGGCCCCATCACCTACATGATCACTGCAGATGGTGACAGCAGCCACGAAATTAAAAGATGCCTGCTTCTTAGGAGGAAAGCGACAACAAACCTCGACAGCATCTTAAAAAGCAGAAACATCACCTTGACAACAAAAGTCAGAATAGTCAAAGCTATGGTTTTTCCTGTAGTGATGTACAGAAGTGAGAGCTGGACCATAATGAAAGCTGACCACCGAAGAATTGATGCTTTTGAATTGTGGTGCTGGAGGAGACTCTTGAGAGTCCCCTGGACTGCAAGGAGAACAAACTTACTCATTCTAAAGGAAATCAACCCTGAGTGCTCACTGGAAGGAGAGATCCTGAAGCCGAGGCTCCAATACTTTGGCCATCTCATGAGAAGAGAAGACTCCCTGGAAAAGACGCTGATGCTAGGAAAGTTTGAAGGCAATAGGAGAAGGGAACGACAAAGGATGAGATGGTGACCAACTCCAGGAGGCAGTGGAAGACAGGAGGGCCTGACGTGCTCTGGTCCATGGGGTCACAAAGAGTCGGACACAACTCAATGACTAAACAACAACAACAACATATTTAGTAGGAATAGTTCTGGTACCATCAGTATTGAAGTTTCTAATATCTCCTGTAGCATCTGATTCATCTGCTACAAGAAGGCTCCAGTTCTGATAATCAATAGGATTCAAGCTATACATGGGTCTCTGGATCTTGTTGGACTACAAGTCCCAGCATCCTTGACCACTCGCCTTGATGGTAGAGTGTTCCTGTCAACCATCGATGTGTGGATATGCACATTTGAGGAGCATTGGTCTATGTCATCATGTTAAACATAGCCCCAGCAAGCTGACAGTGTTTTTCCAGAAGCCCAGACCTCAAGTACAGTCTACTGAGATTCTAGTTAAAAAAGTCTTGAAAACGGTAGAATGTGACATCTATCAGGAATCCGTTCCAAGTCCCCACCACCACTTGAATGCCTCAAAATGGAGCAGTATGGAATTCTATACACTGCATGGTCGCTGGCTCCCTCTAGTGGTGAGTTCCACTAAATGCACCCTGGAAATACACATAAACAGGTACCATATTTCTGGGCATTTTTATTTAATATTTTCAGCCAGCGGGTAAGCGAATCAGCAGATATTGATCCAATGGATGTGGGGATCCTACTATATATTAGGAATTTGGCTACTCCTTTTGTTAGGAGAGGATAACACGAAAAGACAAAGTGCAACTGGATTGAGCCCAGCCTCACCAGCCTTCCCTTGGGTTACGCAGTCCAGCCCTTTCTATAGGGCAAAAGAATCCTTTGGAAACGTCTGAAGAAGACAGAACTGAAGTTTACTCATAGTTATCAGGCAGTGTTGTGATCAGAAGAAGGAAAAAAAGGACAAAAATGTGGGGAAAAGCAAATGGTGACACAGGAACCAAAGAAACAGTGCTGGCTGCACCTTATGCTAGGTGGCTCATATTTACGTTATATTACTTTAATGAGCAAAGGGATGTGGTGGCGCTGCAGGCTAAACCGCAGAAGCCTGTGCTGCAGGGTCAGAAGACCAAGCAGTCGTAAGATCGAATCCACGCGACGGAGTGAGCGCCCGTCGCTTGTCCCAGCTCCCGCCAACCTAGCGGTTCGAAAGCATGCAAATGCAAGTAGATAAATAGGGACCACCTCGGTGGGAAGGTAACAGCGTTCCGTGTCTAAGTCGCACTGGCCATGTGACCACGGAAGATTGTCTTTGGACAAAACGCTGGCTCTATGGCTTGGAAACGGGGATGAGCACCGCCCCCTAGAGTCGAACGCCCCCTAGAGTCGAACGTCAAGGGGAACCTTTACCTTTACCTTACTTTAACGAGCATTTCAAGGCAGCAAATGCTGCCTGAGCAGACCTAGCCAAAAAAGTTACAATTATTTCTAAATAAGTAATACTATTCTGTTTGTATATTTAACTTTATTTTTCAAGCAACTGCAAGGGTGTGTAACAGACAGATTTTTTAAAAATCTATAGAAAAGGAAGCTAGCTAGGTAGTGCAATAGTTTAGGTCTCTGGCCAGAGGTTGGGAGTTGGAATCCTCAGTATGCCTCCTGGGAGTACAGCCAGCCTGTGTCGTGTTGGGCCAGCTGCACAGTCCCAGGGCACTCCCAGAAGAAAGGAATGGGGAACCACTTTGGGTCCTGTTTGCCTGGAACGGATCGCCATAAATCAGAATTCACTTGACAGCACACCATTACCAAGGAATGGAAAACCTAACTGAAATTAACCCCTATGCATTTATCATTAACATTCAAAGTTTATTTGAACTCTGCAGAGTTGGAAAAAGGAGCAAAAGAAAGAAACGAACAAACAAAAACACAGAACTCCATCAATCAAGACTTCAACACACACACAGACCACAAAGTGACTTGGTCTTGCTTACGTTTACTTCTAAAAACCTAAAAACAAGTTACTTTGCATTTCAAGACATAGAAGTCTTCACATATTCTTGGACCCCGGTTTCCGTCAGCCAACGGTGGGAGATGATATGGAATGATAATTCACTGGGAGGGTCATGGGTTCTCCACCTTTGGTCAAAAGAGAATACCAATTTAGAAAGTTTAGATTTATTAAGGTAATGTTGTAGTAAACCCCATCCACCCCTTTTCTTAAAATTCCTGCATTCCAAAAACCTGCATCCACATTTTTAGCAATTTCTTCCCCAAACAGAGATCAAATAAACAAGAGGAATAATCAGCCCCGGCCTATCAAGTCTCACATGCACACTCTGACCGAAGCAAGACAGAAATATGTCACAACGGAAGGACAGAATGCCACGGTCACTGGCATTGAACACTGAAAGCAGTTCAAATGGTTGGGTGGGAGACAGCTTAGATCACGGCCTAGATGTGATTTTTTTTCCCCCTTTGAGAAGGAAGATTTTATCTGCAGATCTATTTGCCTGATGAGCTGGATAGCTCAGTGGTTTAGGATCTGGCTGTGGAGCTCGAGGTTGAAAGTTCGATTCCCACCGGTGTCTCCTGAGTGAAAAGCCAGCCTGTGTGGCCTTGGGCAAGCTACATTGAAGAAGGGAATGGTAAACCATTTTTCAACATGTTCCACCTAGAAAACTCTGAAAAGGGTTACCATAAATCAAAATTGATGACCCATGATGATGATTATGATTTTATGGTAGGAAGGATAGCAAGACTTCTTCACCAGAGACAGGCAGGAGAGACGCTAGTTACAAAAGTAAGATGCTGGCAGCAAAAGTTCAGTTTTCCCGCACTTAAAATTTGCATAGGGACATAAATGCTACATCTCTCGGCAACCAACTGGTATACAAAATAATAATAAATCACTTCGATATCTGAATCAGGACGGCAACCCAAAGGAGCAGAAGTTACACAAAAGAGGCATGTTCAACTACAGAGCTTAAAAAAAAACCTGAAACAGGGCACACAAGCTGTGGCCAAAATCATATCATGTCAGTGCCAACAACGCCTCCATAATCAATAGGTCACATCAAAGATATTTCCTTCTGCTGGTGTCATCAGAAGCACCACAGAAAAAACCCTCAAAGTCTTATTTTGTGAAGAGAATGCTTGCTTAAACATCTATTGACATAACGCCTGGGCGTCATTCATTTGAGATGAAGATCTTTTCCAGTTCACTCTTCTTCTTTTGTAGAATTGTCTGCTACGGATGGGATTTTCGGAACAACAAGCGCCCTAATTCTCTATTCTGGGAGTTTTATCTGACAGATGACCTCAATAGGGCTCACCTTGGAGAAAGGCCTGAACTGGAAGACTTTGAGGCTTGGTCAGGCCAAACGCCACCCAAGCATCTTGTCCCTTGCCCTGCTGTTAACTGGTAGCTTTCTTTCTGAACAGAAAGCTAGGTAGACGTAGCCTCAAAGGCTTCCAATGCAGGCCTTTCTCCCGAGTGCATCACATCCAGCTGTTTGTAAAGTGCCTGTAAAGCAGGAAGAACCAGAATGAAGGATGATGGGCCAGTCACAGGGATCCCATAACACACACCCCCACACACTACAGCAGCTCCAACTGGTTGCTGATCTGTTTCTGGGCACAATTCAAAGTGCTGATAAAGCTCTGAACTTTATCTCAAAGTTATCTCAAAGGCTGTATCTTCGTTTATGAGCCCCTCTGGGGGTTAAGATCATCATGGGAGGCCCTTGTCTTGGTCCCACCACCTTCACTGGTGCATTTGGTGAGGCCATGGGACAGGGCCTTCTCTGTGGCTTCTTCACAGACTCTGGAACTCCCTCCCACTGGAGGCCAGGGCAGTTCCAACTTTGCTGCCCTTCTGCAAGCAGACAAAAGACCTTTCTCTCCAGGCAGGATTTGTTCGCTCATTTGTTTTCTCTATAAGCTGCCTTTCTCCAGATAAGGGGGACCCCAAGGCAGCTCACAATATTAAAATAACAGAAGTAAAAACATAATAAGTTAAACATTAAAAAAACAATTGAACTACTTAAAATATAGTTGAATACTTAAAAGCAGGTAAATGCCACTGGTTAGGCCTAATATTGAGCATTGTGTACAGTTCTGGACACCACACTTCAAGAAGGATGGTGACAACTGGGAAGAAGTTCAGAGGAGGGTGACAAGGATGATTAGGGGGTTGGAAACCAGGCCCTAGGAGGAAAGACTGAAAGAATAAGAATTTGGCACGTTTAGTCTTGAGAAAAGAAGACTGAGGGGGAGATTTGATAGCACTTTCCAAGGGCAAAATCTGTTCCCGATCATCCCAGAGTTCTGGACATGCAACAAGAGAATCAAGTTACAGGAAGACAGATTTCGGCTGAATATCAGGAAAAGCTTTTTAACTGTTAGAGCAGTATGACAAGGGAACCCAAGACCACAGGAGGTGGTCCAACACTGGAGGCATTCAAGAGAAATTGAGAGAACCACCTGGCAGATACAGTACTGTATTTATTTATGTATTTGGCTTTTATACCGCCCATCTAGATGAATCTACTCTGGGCCGTTTTACGATATCCTTTGATTTGTATTCCTGCCTTGAGCAGGGGGTTGGACTCAGTGGTCTTATAGGTCCGTTCCAACTTCATGATTTTATGCTTCTATGAAATATTAAAAACTATCTTAAAAGTGGCATTCAGGGACTCAACCATGATGGTTCAAAGCCTGCCTGAAAAGATGGGTCTTCAGCGGTTGGTGGAAAGACCAAATGGGAGGGTGCCCGCCTGATCTTCCATGGAAGAGGGTTCTACCACCTGGGAGCTGCACAAAGCAGGCCTTCTCTTGTGTCCCCGTCAACGGTGGCATGCCCACTGACAGGAGGGCCTCCTCTGGTGATCTTAAATGCCAAGACAGTTCATAAGGGGAGAGATGGTCCTTCAGGTAGGCTGGACCCGAGCCGTATTGGCCACTGGGCCAGGAAATGGACTGAGCCACCAGAGCAATTCTTGTAGCAGGAGGTGTTATGGGCTCCCTAGAATTGGCCTCTCTATAATCTATAGAGAATTGTGCTCTCTATAATCTGGCTGCTGAATTTTGCACCAGCGGAAGTTTCTGAACACTCTTCAAAGGTGGCCATACATACGAGTGTGTTGCAGCAATCCAAACGGGGATACAATTAAAGCATTGTAGCGAATCTGATATCTCAAGGAATGGGCGCACCAGCTTTAGCTATGCAAATGCACTCCTAGCCACCGCCGAAACTTGGGCATCCAAGCTTAGGGATGAATCCAGGAGCACCCCCAAGCTACGAACCTGAATTTTCAGAGGGGACGTAACCCCATCCAGCACAGGCTGCATCCTTACTCTCTTACATCTGATTTCCAACTGACTAGGAACCCCTGCGTTGCCTTGGAATAAGTTTCCGTTTGTTTTTCCTCGTGTAGCTTGCTGCTGACACGAGGCACTGGTTTAGAACCAAGGACAGCTCCCTTGGAATCAGATAGGAAGGTGAGATGAAGTTGGGTGTCGTCTGCATATTGGTGATACCGAACCCCAAAACTGTCCGAGAGGAGTTTTTTTTTTAAATGGATTGTTGTGCCTTGTTTTTTTTAAAAGTCTCTTCCATATCGATTTTATTTGCCATTTTAAATATAATACTTGTTAAATTCTTTTAAAATATTTGTCTGCTTACTGTTTCAAGGTTTTAAATATCTTTTAAGGATGTTAAACCACCTGAGGTCCTTTTTAAGGAGAAAGGTGGGGTAAAAAACATTTAAATAAATAAATGTGTAGCTCAGAAAATCCCATCCTTCCCAGCCTCTTTTTTGAGACAATGTCCTCTTGCAATGGAAGTATTTTATGCTTTCTCCAGTAGACGTTTTCCAATTCTTCTCCAATTTTCATGTGTAGTCTTTGTCTCTTGATGGAATCCACATCAACTAAGACTGCCTAGAGTAGTCTTATAGGCCAGATGAACGGGGAATAAATCATATAAATAAATAAATAGATAGATAGATAGATAGATAGATAGATAGATAGATAGATAGATAGATAGATAGATAGATAGATAGATAGATAAATAAATAAATAAATAAAATAAACTCAGAACATTGACCTGTTTTCTTTCCTTCAGCAATTCTTCTGTGGGGGCTTTCTACTAATACTGCAGCTCCCTCTGAAGCTTTTTCACAACTCTAAGCATGTGGCCAGTTCTTGACCGCCATGTTTTTGTTGACAGGGCAAAAGCTTACTGTGTTGATTGAGGCTCTTTCGACAGCCTGTATACTGAAATGATGTTTTGTCCACGTGGATTCCTTGATGATCTTGAAGGGCAGAGCACAGAGCCGACCTTTCCACACACACTGAGTGTTTATTTGGCATTTCTCCATTTAAACAGTTTCTCTCCTTGTGTATTCTTTGATGTCTACTAAGGCTGCTGGAGTGACAGAAGATTTTCCCGCAAGCCGAATATGTAAATGGATTCTCACATGTGTGTGTTTTTTGATGGGCCGTCAGGTTACTGCTCTGAGTGAAGCTCTTTCCACACTCTAAACATTTATATGGCGTCTCTCCATTGAACCAGCTTCTGTCCTTGTGGGTCTTCTGATGTCTGCTGAGGCTACTGGACTGAGAGAAGCTTCTTCCACAGTCTGGACACGTGAGCGGTTTTTGCCCTGTGTGGATATTTTTATGATTTATAAGATTATTACTCCAAGAGAAACTCTTTCCACACACTGAGCACTTAAATGGCTTTTCCCCAGTGTGTGTTCTTTGATGCTCATTAAGGTTACTGCACCTACAAAACCTCTTTCCGCACTCTGAGCATTTAAATGGTTTCTCCCCAGTGTGAATTCTCTGATGATCGGTAAGGGTGGAGCATTGACTGAAGCTCTTCCCACACTCGGAGCATGTGTAGGGTTTTTCTCTGCTATGGGTTCTTTGATGCTTAATCAACCCGTCATGATCGCAATAGGTTTTTCCACACTCTGGACATTTATAGGGTTTCTCTCCCATGTGGGTTCCAAGATGCTTAATCAGGCCGCTGCTCTGAGTGAAGCCCTTCCCACACTCTGAGCATTCATAGGGTTTTTGGTCTTGGTGGGTATTCTGATGGGCTCTAAAGTTACTGCTCTGAGTGAAGCTCTTCCCACACTCTGAGCACTGATATGGCAATTCTCCCCTGTGGGCTCTTTGATGATAATTAAGAGCAGTGCTATCAGTGAAGCTTTTCCCACACTCTAAGCAGTTATACGGTTTCACCCTGGTGTGGAGTCTGTGATGATAATTGAGAGTCGTGCTGGCAGAAAAGCTTTTTCCGCAGTCTGAGCATTTATACGGTTTCTCTTCCGTGTAGATTTTTGGGTGGGACGTAAGATGATTGTTCTTCATGAAGCTCTTTCCACAGTCTGAGCATTCATAGGGTTTTTCACCAGTATGGGTTCCCGGACCATAGGTAGAATCAGCACTCCCAACGAAACTCTTTCCACACTCTGAGCGCTTACATAGTTTTTGTGCAGCCTGAGTTATTTGATGGGGAGTAAGATCAATCTTTTCCAAGATATTATTTCAACACTCTGAACATTTGCATGGATTCCCTACTGAGTGGGTCCCCCCACTCAGTGTATGTTCAAGCTGAAGCTCTTTCCACATTGAAAACATATCAGCTTTTGGATTTCATGTAAACCGGCATATTCAGAAATGAGAGTTTTCTTCCCCCCGTTTTCTTTTCCTTCATATTTCTTTCTCTGCTGTTCAACTTTCTCCATCTCTGCAGGAATAAAAACAAGAAACTTATCTGGAAGAAATGGATCCTTTAATTAAGGAAGATATTAAAAATACGATTATGCAAATAATAGGATAAACACATTGGGGCCCCATGTGAGATAAGAAACAATAAATGAATCCTTTTAATTTTCTGGAAAATTGTAATAGAGTAAGATGATGGTATCCTTGGGGGATCAGTTCTAAGGCTTCTTCCCCTTGCAGATGCTAAAAAACACTCAAGTATGGAAGCATGGTCTCCCCGCTGTTTTTAGGAGGCATTTTTCGCACTACAGGCACCGAAAATGGCGCGAGTTAACGTCCTCAAGCGAGGCACCACTGTAGCTCTGAGAGACAGATCTTGTACGAAAGTTGGCATACTTTTACAGACCTCTAGAACTAAATTACAGATATTGTGTTTCAACTTACTAGCTCAACATGTATTATTTATACATTCTTTATAAGTTTTAGGTTTATAATGGTGTAACTTTTTTTCCTGTTGCTTAGTGTAGTAAGTCATGCTAGGGGAAGCCCATTGAATCAGTGTGGATTTGCTGAGTCAGTTCTGCTGTAGATGCCATTCATTTAAATTGGCCTACTTTTGCGACTTACTATAGCAACAGAGGACCATACTATAGCCCACTGGTTCTTAACCTTGTGTTACTCAGGAGTTTTGGACTGCAACTCCCAGAAGCCTTCACCACCAACTGTGCTGGCTGGGGTTTCTGGGAGTTGCAGTTCAAAAACATCCGAATAACAAAGGTTAAGAACCACTGCTATAGCCCCTTCTGCAGAGCCTAAAGGGAAGCAAGACTACAATTGCCAAGAAGCATTGCATCAGCTTCCTTTTTTGTATATTAACAACAGGAAGCACGGCCTGAATCAGCCATGCAGCCTCATGGACAGGCCCTGGTCCAGGTGAGCGAAATGAAGGTGCTTTACGTGGGGCTGCCTTTGAAGAGTGTTCAGAAACTTCTGCCGGTTCAAAATCCTGCAGCCAGACTGCTGACTGGCACTCATTACAGGGAACATGCAACTCCCTTACTACAACAGCATCACTGGTTGCCGGTCTGTCTGCAGGCCCAATTCAGACTGCTGGTTATCACTTATAAACCCTATATGGCTTCAGCCCAGGCTATTTGAAGGATCATACCACCTCATATGAGTCTTCTTGGTCTTCTATGGAGGCCCTTCTCTCAGATCTCCCACCCTCCAAACCTCACTAGGTGATCATCCAGACAAGACAAAGGTGCTCCTGGTCAGTCACCAGGAAAATCAGGGGATAGGGACAGAGATTTCACCTGTACTGGATGGGGTTACACTCTCCCATAAAAATAAGGTCTGCAGTTTAGGGGTGCTCCTGGATTAATCTCTGAGCCTGGATGCAAAGATTTCAGCAGTGAAACTTTTGCAGTGAAAACTGTTTGAGATGTTTGATTTGGTCACAACAACACATGCTTTTGTTACCTCCCAAATGGAGTACTGCAATGTGTTTTACGTGGGGCTGCCTTTGAAGAGAGTTCAGAAACTTCTGCCGGTTCAAAATCCTGCAGCCAGACTGCTGACTGGCACTCATTACAGGGAACATGCAACTCCCTTACTACAACAGCATCGCTGGTTGCCGGTCTGTCTCCAGGCCCAATTCAAAATGCTGGTTATCACTTATAAACCATATATGGCTTCAGCCCAGGCTATTCGAAGGATCATACCACCTCATATGAGCCTTCTTGGTCTTCTGTGGAGGCCCTTCTCTCGGATCCCCCACCCTCCAAAGCTCACTAAGTGAGGACACGAGACAGGGCCTTCTCAGTGGCTGCTCCCAGGCTTTGGAATGCACTGCGCCAAAAATCCAGGCTGGCCCCCACCTACTTGTCTCTTCAGGCAGACCTTGAAGCAGCCAGTTATCTCAAGAATGTTGGTTTTTAACTTACCAGTACGGTTTTCAATGTTTTAAATTTGTTTTTGTACTTAAATCTTTTAATTTTAATGCATATTTAAATTGTTTCTTTAATGCCGACTGTGACGTCCCTCTTTCACGTCACAATGGTCAGGACACTCTCTCATTCACACTTTATTTACGCTGCCACCAACCACTCCCTCATAAGACTCTTCAGACAAATGTATGATTTTAAAAATAAAAACTTGTATTTTATTGATAACAACAGAAGGAATGGTAAATCACTTTATCAACTAAAATAAAAAGGCAATCAGCAATAATAAAGTATCCCCTCATACACACTCTCTCTCAGACCTTCACTAACACCTTACTTTATACCCTAACTCTCTATAACTCTTAACTCTCTTAACTAACTCACATCATTCACTCCCCCTCCCCTTATATACACAGCTCCACCTCCTGGAGTCCCACCTCCTGCTCTGCTATAGGCAGATGGGTTCCAGCATAACCATGATGGGCAGGTGATGTCATCGCAGCTGTCACATAGACTATTTATTTATGTATTTATTTATTTAAAATATTTCTATGCTGCCTTTCTCCCCCAAAGATCCAAGACAGCTTACATGACTAAAACAGTATTTACAGTAAAAGCCAAAATAGTAAGTATACGGATATTTTTAAGATAATTAAACAAGTACTATGTGGTATTACTATGACTTCTTTTCTGTAATTTTGGCCACTGCTGCTTTGCTGGCAGAAATAGACAACATAACTCCAGTCATTGCAAAGTTCTCGCTTTGCTGGCTGTGAATTAATATGAGCCTATGTTGACTCTGCATGGGACGTGGTGGCGCTGCGGGTTAAACCGCAGAAGCCTCTGTGCTGCAGGGTTGGAAGACCAGTAGTTGTAAGATCGAATCCATGCAATGGAGTGAGCCCGCGTCACTTGTCCCAGCTCCTGCCAACCTAGCAGTTCGAAAGCATGTAAATGCAAGTAGATAAATAAATACCACCTCGGTGGGAAGGTAACAGCGTTCCGTGTCTCGTTGCACTGGCCACGTGACCACAGAAACTGTCTTCGGACAAACGCTGGCTCTATGGCTTGGAAACGGGGATGAGCACCACGCTCTAGAGTCCGACACAACTGGACTAAATGTTGTGTCGGTCTCTGGTCTTAAACTTGACTCTGGTCTTAAACTTGCTGATTTTTAAAATCTCCGTTAACCAAAGAAAAACTTGTGTGGACTAACTAAATATGAATTATTCACAGTAACTTCATATTCTTAAAGTGCCATATCACTTTAAATACTGACAAAATTTCAGCCAATACAGAATACATTCAACGCAAACAGTAATAATCTGGTTACTGTGAATAATTTGTATTTAGTTAGTCCAAATGGATTTTTTTTTTTGGTTACTTGAGGAAGCACCCTATTTTTCTTGCTCTGGGTGGATTTTCTGATCTCTGGCAAGCAGTAAATCCTGATTCCAGGATCTCCGAAGTCCAAGGGAAGAGGCAGCCTTACCCAGAGAGCTTGCATTAGCAAAATTCTCCTCTCTAACTTCTGCATGCAAGGCCTTCTGGTCTGGATCCAAAAGAGTCCACTCTTCCTCCGTAAAATTGATAGCCACTTCTTCAAAGGCCACCAGGTCCTGAAAGAAAAAGGAGGCCCTCTCTCAACACAGCTGAAATTGCAATCCCCAAAGGTCACCAAACTTTAGGCAATGAAAGAAGATGGGAGAAAGAAAGAAAAAGAGGAAGACAGAACCATACCATATACTGTACACACATGCACACGCACACGCACACGCACACACATACACACACACAGTGGTGCCCCGCATGACGACGATAATCTGTCCCATTGAAATTGCTGTTTAGCGAAATCGTCGTCATGCAAAATCCGTTTTCCCACTGAAACCCGGTTTAATGCGTTCCAATGGGGAAAATACCTTGTCGTCCAGCGAATATAGCCCATAGGGAAGCCATTTTTGTGAGTGCCGATCAGCTGTAAAATGGCTGCCCTGCGAAACATGGGTCTGGAAAACACAGGGCAGCCTTTTTTTTTGAAGCTGACGTGAGTGCCGATCAGCTGTAAAATGGCTGCTCTGTGAAACATGGGTCCGGAAAACACAGGCCAGCCTTTTTTTGCGAAGCTGATGAACAGCTGTAAAAATCGTTGTCTTGTGAACAAACGGTTCGCGAAGCACGGACCTAATCAACGTCCAGCGAAAATCCCCCATTGGAATGACTGTTTTGCGAATCGCTATAGCGATCGCAAAAAGTCATCATTATGCAGATTTGTTGTTTAGCGGGGTCATCGTCTTACGAGGTACCACTGCACATTTGAAAAGGGGGTCACACACTGAAAACGATTATTTGCACACTATCTTGGAAGGTTTATGTGATTTATACAATCCTGATTCAGCCTATATTTCTTTCCTCTTGTACTTACGGCTGCGGCAAAAAAAAGGTTGAAAACGGCTGCCCGAAAGGAAGCCACAAGATTGAGTTTGCAGTAGCCGAGCAGCGCTGTTGAGGACAACACATTTTGGAGGTCACTTATCCATTGGGTTGCCATAGGAGCCTTATGGTGCAGTAGTAAAACTGCAGTAAAGCAGTTAAGACTCTGCTCACAACCTGAGCTTGATTCTGACAGGCTCAGGTAGCTGGCTTGAGGTTGACTCAGCCTTCCAGGTCGGTAAACTGAGTACCAATTTCATGGTAGCCTGCATAATTAAATTTTAAACCACCCAGACATTGCACTAAGCACTATGGGATGGTATATAAGCAGTATACTTTATAAGTCGGAGGTGACTTGATGGCATGTAGTAGTAGTAGTAACAACAACAACAACAACAACAACAACAACAACAGATCATGATCCCTGGAAACAATAAGAGGACAACAACAACAACAACAACAACAACAGATCACGATCCCTGGAAACAATAAGAGGAGACAGACAGACAGACAGACAGAAACACACACACACAGAAAAAGCAACTTCAAAAATTTTCCCCATCCCTTATGATAGCCATTTTGTGACAGCACCCAGGTCTCAATATTTGGCACATGAAACCTGTCTTGAGGAGGTCCACCAGCAGGGATGGGATTCAAAGGAGAGAGGAGGGACCCGTGGAGGCACTCCAGGATTGGAGGCAGCCAGAACACCTGGAGCTGGACAGCAGCAGTGGGAAAGGGGAGCACGCCCCACGTCCTGCTTATGAACTTTCCAGAAGCCTCTGGCTGCTTATTTTGGAAAAGAGGATGCTGGATCAGGTGGGAGCTTCAGTCTGTTCCAGGAGAGCTCTGACCCAGGACATCCGCACTTCCTGGGTGGGAGCTTTCTTATCCTTCTTCTTGTATTGGATCAAAAGCTAAAAATCACTGAAAGCACTCTTTACAATTTAATTACACAAGATACCTACTGTCCCCTCCAGTGAGCTGGGGACTCAGTTTACCAACTTTGGAGGGATGAAAGGCTGAGTCAACCTTGAGCCAGCTGTCTGAACCCGTCAGGATTGAACTCGGATCATGAGTAGAGTCTTGGCTGCGGTACTGCAGTTTAACCACTGCACCACAAGGCGTAAGTACAGTGGTGCCTTGCATAACGAGTGCACCGTTTAACGATGAATCCGCATAGCGATGCGAATTTTGCGATCGCTAATGCGATCGCATACCGATGTTTTAATAGGGCGAGAATCGCTTTCTGACAATCGGTAAGCATTTCGCTTACCGATCTTCGCAGGTTCCAAAATGGCCGCCGGAACACCCAAAATGGCCACCGGAACACTCAAAATGGCCACCAGAACACCAAAAATGGCCGCCGGAAGACCCAAAATGGCCACCAGAACACCCAAAATGGCCACTGGAACATCGCAGAACGGTGAGTTTGGGGCCCATTTGGAACACATTAAACAAAGTTTAATGCGTTCCAATGGGCTTTTCTGTTCCATTTAGCGATGTTTCCCCATAGCGAAGGGGCACCACTGTACAGTAACGGGTTCTATTCTTCCACATTCAAGGAGAATCGTAAACTAGGTTACAACACTCTATGCCGTTCCTCCAGAATGTGAGTCCACCTGCCGCCAGAATAGTCACGGCTGAGGAACAATAACAGATAAAGGATTTTAGCCTGAGATCTTGCTTCAGCCTTCCCACTGGGGCCTCTGTTGAGCCAGGGTGAACAATCTGCTTGCCCAACAATGGAAGGGGCAACCTGACTTCCTGGGCAGTGCATTCCAAAGCCTGGGAGCAGCCACCAAGAAGGCCCCATCTTGTGTCCTCACCAAATAAGCTTGGGCTACCCAGTAGTTTCGGGACTCCGACTTCGGCAGTGCTGGGAACCCCTCCAGAATTACTTACAGTATTTACTTTACAAGCTGTATTGATTGCTGCTGAACCTATAGGGAGACGGTAGTTCCTGTGAAGGGCAGATGAAAACCTGGAGAGGATCCACAGCCTTTCCAAAACTTGGATGCCCAACTGCCACCAGCTACATGGCTGACAGCCTAAAAACAAACACTTTGACAGAGGGAAACTATGATGAACTACACCCATCTGGCTTTGCTTGACAACAGGTCAACCCTGTAAGGGTGGTGGACTGCAATTTGCTTTCCTCCTGACATTGTTGGTCGGACTCCATGAGCTCCAGAGAGCATAAATACAGTAATGGTCAAACAGGGTTGTCACTGGGCCTTTTGAGAGCTCAGATATGTGACCTGGGCCATTTCAGATTGTGAGGGATAGAAACAATTTTTTTACTGTAAAGATCAGTACATTTTTAAAAAAAATTATAGGATGTGAAAAAGTATCATTTTATTTAGCTTTATTTTTAAACGCTCTGGATTGAATTAATTGGTATATAATAATCATCACAAGCTGTCAAGTCAATTCTGACTTATGATAACCCATTCCAGAGTTTTCCAGGTAGATAATATTCAAAAGTGGTTTCCCCTTCCCTTCTTCTAGGGGCACCCTGGGATGGTGCAGCTTGCCCAAGGATACACAGGCTGGCTGTCCTCCAGGTAGGCTCAGTCCTCAAAACCAACTGAGTTATCCAGCCAGCCTCGGATATTATAGTACAGTGGTGCCTCTCTTAACGAGTGCTTTGTTTAACAACAAATACGCATAGCGATGAAGATTTTGCGATCGCAAAAGTGATCACATTGCGATGTTTTAAATGGGGAAAAATCGCTTTGCGATGATCGGTAAGCTGTTTCGCTTACCGATTATCGCATAGCAAGCTTTTCCCAACAGCTGATCGGCGGTTCCAAAATGGCCGCCGGGGAAAATAAATGGCCGCCCGCTGTGTTTTCGCGCCCATTCCTCACTTACCAGGCACCGAAAATGGTGGCCATATGGAGGATTTTTGCATAATGGTGAGTTTTTGCCCATAGGAACGCATTAAACGGGTTTTAATGCATTCTTATGGGCTTTTTATTTTCGTATAACGACGAATCCGCATAGCGACGATTTTTCCGGCACGGATTATCGCCGCTATGCGGGGCACTACTGTACATAGAAAATAATGCCACAGAGTAATGCAGCCTCACCTGAGGTGAGGCCCTCCTGTGAGGGGAGGCCTGGGCCAATGGCCCTGTGGGTCCTATCTTTTCTAGGGCCACATCTAAGGTTTTTGTTCTGGGGTTCATCTCCAGTTTTCAGCTTGCAGCCCTAGGACCTCAGAGAATGTAGCGCTATTAGACTTGACAAAAAATAGAGTTGACAGCCACGGTCTGCTTGGGAGTTTAGCCTGTCACACAGCAGATCACAAGAGGTCTAACTGTAGATCCAGATTTCCTTTTGTGCCACCTTAGTTTATAAAACTTTTCCTGTGGGGCTGGACTGAACCGCTTGTGATCGGTGATCTTGCATAGGGGTGCACTCCTCACCGCACACACCATCCCACAACATGGGTGACGTGCCCAGTCTCCTCTTGATGGAATTTTGAAGATGGGGTCAGGGTGTATTATCTCCCCCCCCATCCTTGTCCCCACAGAAACACTATAATAATCCATTCCTGCATCTCATAGACCATTTCTCCTTCTTTAGGAATCTCCGGGTTCAGCAATAGACCCCCTACCTTTAGGTTTGGGAAATCCTTAAGTAAGTCCCACGCTTTATCATACTTTTGATCACCTCATTCTGTCTCAATTGTTTTCTTACTCTCTTCTGTTTCTCTTTCCAGTCTACTGTACTACCAAAGCTCCTTTCCCCCCTTCTTTTATATCCTCCTCCCACACCTAGTTTTATCTCCCCCCTTTCTTTCTTTGTTTCTTTCTTTCTTTCTTTCTTTCTTTCTTTCTTTCTTTCTTTCTTTCTTTCTTTCTTTCTTTCTTTCTTTCTTTCTTTCTTTCTTTCTCCTTCCTCCACTAAACAAACTTCTATCTGTCAGGATTTTGTTCTTTTCATGAACAGGGAGTTAAATTTTAATATTGTAATGATTGCAGAGACACAAATGTAAAGTAAAAGCCAATGTAGTGACTAACAGCATACAGATGTAACAAGCTGATGTAATGCTTGATTGTTACGCAAGAGCAGCTGTAAATGGTGAAATGTGATTGGTTGTTCTGGGTATAAATGTAACAGAGACAGAACAGGCCTTTGCCACTCAGCAGTAAGTCTGGTGGTCATTTGCTTCTATGTCAATATTGCTCTGAATGTTGTTATGCCAAATGTATCTTGCCATGTATATATGTTTAACCATACCTAATATACTATATTATAATCACTAAGAACTCTTTCATGTCATTTTCTCCCCACATCTAAGTCTCTTACTTTGCTGTATAAGTGGGAAGAATGGAAGCAGTCTGATAAGAAGCTCTGTATACAGTGGTGCCCCACATGACGATAATCCGTCCCACTGAAATTGCTGTTCAGCGAAATCGTCATGCAAAAAACCTTTCCCCATTGGAATGCATTGAAACCCATTATGCCTCTGGAGTTTTGGCCCCGCACCAACACTATCTTCTCCTCCTCTTATTCCTCCTCCTCCTAACCCACTAAGCTATCTGGCCAGCTTTAATTATATTAAATACCATTAAACGGAATAATGACATATTCAACAGATCAATTCCAAACTTTCTCCTGGGGCTTTCTTGGCATAATAATCAGATGTGATCTACCGCTCTTGTCTTCTGATGGCACACAGAGACCACCACCTCGCGCAACATCACCCAGAGAGCAGAACACATCAGCCACACACTCACCAGAGGATCTCAGCTGGCTCCTTGCATGGGAGGCAAAGGGAGTCAGACTCCCCTAGTTTGGCTGCCTGTTGCTTCAAACCCATCACACACACTAAAAAAAAATTTTTTTTTAAGGCAGTATCCTGCTAAAAATCCATTTCTCAGCAACAGGTTCAGTGGCTCAAAGCTTGCCTGAAGAGAAAAATAGAGAAGAGGCCAACTTATTCTCAAGAGCAGTTGTTCTCTGTGTTGGGCAAACCAAGTGTCTTTCGGCTGCAGTTCTGAGAAGTCTTCGTCACTAGCAATGCTAAGGAGGGAAGGTGAGTTGCCGTCCCAGAACACCTCAGTGACCCAAGATTGAGAATGGGCTGTTTTCTAGTGGAAGGGAGTTCCACAGGCTGGGAGCAGCTCTGTCAAGTCCTAATCTAGCGTACTTGTGAGGCCTGTAGGACTGAGAGAAGGGTCTCCTCAGAGCCAGAATAGGCTACCCCACCTGTCTTTGTAACCAGTGAAAAACAATTTGGGGAAGATAATAAATTTGATCTAGCACTAAAAATAATATAACACTGGTGCCCGTCCCACCAATATTTGGGGGAGGCAGTTCCACAACGTCAAAGCCTGCCTCCCTTTGTCGTCATATAATGGACTTTTGTTAATCTGAGAGAAGCCTTAAGTATCTGATTGGTCATAAAAGCTGTTGATATGATGCTTATCGATATGACGTGGCCCGATTGTGATACAGACAATGAAAGTGGTCTTTTTTAGAACTTAGACTTCCCTGTGAGTTGTGCAAGAATTTATATGCTTTCTCAAGGTTTTTTACCTCCCTCCCATTAAGACTGTCCTTTGAGAATGTTTCACCTTGTAAAAGGTATCTATTTACTGGACGGGCACTCAAAGGACCTCATCCCTTATGTGGGTTCTTAAATGATCAGTCAGGTCCGTGCTCTGAGTAAAACTCATTCCACACCAGGGGCATTTAAAGGGTTTTTCACTGGTGTGTTTTCTAATGGGAGCAACTCTTTCTGAGCAACTCTTTCCACACACATAGCATTTAAATGGCTTTTCCCCCCCGGTGTGGATTCGCCGATGATCCATAAAGATGGTACCCTGACTGAAGCTCTTTCCGCATTCAGAGCATTTATGGGGCTTCTCTCTTGTGTGGGTTCTCAGATGTTTTGTGAGGCTACCGGTCTGACCAAAGCCTTTCCCACACACTGCGCATTTGTATGGCTTCTCTCCTGAGTGAGTTCCTTGATGTTTAATCAGGTTGGCGCATTGACTAAAGCTCTTCCCACACTCTGAGCATTGATAAGGTTTTTCTCCTGTGTGGGTTCTTTGGTGGGAATTGAGAGGGGCTGGTGCGATGGAGGCTTTTCCCACCCTCTGAGCATTTATACGGTTTCTCTTCTGTGATGTATAGTAAGGCTATTGATCTGAAATAAACTTTTACCACACTCTAAACATTCAAATGGTTTTTCTCCCATGTGGGTCCTGAGATGTTTAGTCAGGTTTGACTGAAGCTTTTTCCGCACTCAGCATCGAAATGGTTTTTCGCCGGGGTGAATTCTTAGGTGAGAAATAAGGCAGCTTCTATGAGTGAATTTTTCCCCACATTCAGTGCATTTATATGGTTTCTCTCCTGTATGAGTTCTTTGATGTATCGCAAGTCTGCCGGCCAGAGAGAAACTCAGAGCATTTAAATGGCTTTTCACTAGTGTGAGAATTATTCGATGATGAGTCAAGGTGATGCTAGAAATAAAACTCTTTCCACCTTTTAAGCACGGATGCAGTTTTTCAGGAGCATGGCTTTTTCGCCGATTAGTAAGGGCAGTGCTCTGAAGGAACCCATTTTCATACTCTGAATACAGCATTTATATAGTTTCTTTTCTCTGTGTGTGTTTCTGACCAGTGCTTTGAATGAAACACTCTCCAAAATCTAAGCATTTCAGCACCTTTTTACCAATGTGGGTTCTTGGGTGGGAAGTACATCGACAGTTGTGACTGAAATGCTTTCCACAGACTGAATGTTTGAACAGTTTTTGTCTTCAAATGGCTCTTTGGTGGCAAGGGCAGCAGTCCAACTAAAGCTTTTTCCACACACTAAACATTTCAATGGTTTTTCACTAGGATGTGTTTGTGGACGACAAATTAGCGTAGCGCACGGAACGAAGCCCGTTCCACCCTCTGTCCGTTGATATACTCTGTATGTTTTCTACAGTGATAAAAAAGAGCACGCCTTTGGCTGAAGCTCTTTCCACACTTTTAAAATTTAAATATTTTCTCTTCCATATGATTTGTTTGATGTCTCTTCCTCTTGAAGTTTTCTCTGTGGCTAAAATGCGGAAACCAATTTTTCCCTTTGTGCCCTCTTGTAAGTACAGTAAAAATAATCCCAGTGAAGCTTTTTCACTGACATTCATTTTTTCCCTTTCCCTCCTTTTGCCAAACTCTTGCAGCATTTGGATTACGGGGGAGTCAAGGCCTTGACAAACAAAGATTTCCTTCTGCCATTTTTCTTTTGCATCCTTTTTCTTCTTTTTTCCTATTCTTTATTTTTAGCCCCTGAAGGAATAATAATAATCTTACGGCCAATGACCAGGAAGATAAAAGTACATTACAGTATTTAGATAAAATCACGTAATATCATAGACATCGGTCAAGAAACATCACCATCAACGCAGTGTCTGGTCCTTAACGACATTAAAGTTAAAAAGAAGTTCTAAGTTAGCCAGTGGCATTGAAGGATATAAAAGCTTTTAAAACTTCTCAGCAGTCACATGATATAAGATGAAATTAAGAGAAAAATAAATATAAAGATAGAAGACTGACTGAAGAGGGAAGAAACCCAATCAACTAATGTGGAAATATGTTAGATGGAGATCTTGTAAACTTACCATCAGCTGGAGAAGACAATACTGGGAAAATAAAGCAATGGCAAAGTCACATGTTGGACTGTTAACTGTGGTCCGTTTATCTCCTCCGGTTTCTTCCTAAATAATTCAACAATTTGTCCTTTTTTCCAGTGAGTGGGATTCCACCCATCTTTCTTCTGGCCCTTTCTCTGAAGATCTCATACTATATAGCTCACCAAAATCCCCCACAACGGACACCATTCAAAATGCTGGTTCTAGCCTATAATGCCCTAAACGGCTTGGGAGCAAGCTACTTCAAGGACTGCCTTAACGAGTCTGCTTGCGTTTTAAGATCCTCAAGAGAGACTCAGTCCCTCCACCTTCATAGGTGCTTTTGGTGGAGACACAGAGAAGGCTGCTCCCAGACTTTGGAACTCCCTCCCACTGGAGGCCAACCTGGCCCCATCACCAAATTTATTTGCCAGGTGGTTGCCTAAATTTCTCTTGAATGTCTCCAGCGCTGGAGAACTCACCACCTGTCAAGGTAACTGGTTCCGTTGTCATACCATTCTAACAGTTAGGACGTTTTTCTTGATCTTATAGGCCCTTCCCAACACAATTATTCTATGATTCTACAAGGAGACGAGGTGGAAAATGAGGTGGGAGGAAACACATGCACAGATTGAGTTAGAAAACCCATCAACGGGAAAATGAGTTACTTTTCAGATGCCAAAAGAGGAAGCAGAAAGGATGAGAAAGAGACAAGTGTCATATAAACTATCATCTTGAGGAGAGAAAGAATGGGGAGAACAGAAAATATTAGAAGGAGAAGCAAAGGTAAAAATCAGGGAATGAGAGACAAGAAAGAAGTGGATGGATTAAAACCTGGGGGGGGGGGAGAGAGAAACCCAGAGGAAGAGGAAACTGGGAATCATCAAGGAGGAGAGGGGGACAAACGAAGGCCAAGCGCTTGGGTGCACCATCAGCTTCGGTGCCAGCCAGCATCCAACCCTTCGTCTACCCAATGACCGGAAGAGATTTGGGAGAGTCCACCACTAAACCATGAGGTTCTGTTAGCCCTAACCCCAGAAAGTTCATACAAGTTATATCCATTGCTATACAAGCCTTGGGAAGCAGTGGTGGAGCAATCCAGTAAGTGGTTCAATAAAAACATTGCAGCTAAACTCGAGGCTTCCTGGTCAGTGTGAGGGAAACAACATGATGGCTTGGGGAGTTGGACTAGAACCCTCTCACAGATGGGCACAGACAGAGGCAAAAAAACCACAGCAACCATTATTGTTTTTTCTTTGGGATCTGGGATCTACCAGCTAAAGTGAAAAACAATTCTTACCCAGGCACATTACATTCTTCCAGTTTAGCTTCCATGACACCATGGATCCAGCAATGTCCACTGTTCCATGGTGAAATATACAGCCACCTCCTCCAAGCTCACCAGCTTCTGGAATTAAAAGAATAAAATAGGTTTGGGTCGCAAAGATGGCAACAGAATCACTATTCAGATCCCATTCAGAAATAAGTCCATCCATCAGGAGTTAGTGACAGATGAAGGAGGATTGCCAATTTTGGGGGAAGGGGGGAAGCCCCCCCCCCACTCCATCCATGACATACGTCAACAAATTGCAATGCATTCGTAACGGAACAACCGGCGTCCTATGACTTATGCTGGCGTTAAGTCCAACAGCATAAACTTTAGGAACAAATTGGCATCAGTCAAGAAGTCAACGTTTGTATCTCTTGTCATAGGCTAAATCACATGATTGGAACAGGACAAGAAATACTCGTGTCAATTCCTTAACTGTCAGTTCGCTGCTGAGATTAGATTTGTTTGACCTAAGTAAGTAATACCCTGTTTCCCCAAAAATAAGACAGGGTCTTATATTAATTTTTGCTCCAACAACGCATTAGGGCTTTTTTTCAGGGGATGCTTTATTTTATTTTCATGTACAACAATCTACATTATTCAAATACAGTCCAGTCATCTTCTTCAATTTGCTGCACAATGGCGGAGGGCAGGGTTTCACTTAACCCGGGCTTATTTTTGGGATATATTACGAGTATCCTGAAAAATCATAATTAAGATGTAAACTGCCCAGAGAGTGCTTTAAGGGCTATGGGGCAGTATATAAGCAGCACTTTTTATATGGGGATAATATATAAGGTATCATTATATAAGGTATTCATCCGCTAGCAAAGTTCATCTATTTAAACATCCCATTCAGGCCACTGGTCACTCAGGGAAACCTTAGAGCTGAAGAGAAATGTTTTTGCCTGCTTGTGGAAGGGCAGCAAAGATCGGGTCAGGCTCGCCTCCAGTGGGAGAGAGTTCCAGAGTCTCTGGGAGCAGCCAGAGAAGGCTGTCTCCTGTCTCCCCACCGAATTCACCTATGACATTGGTGGGACCGAGAGAAAGGCCTCCCATGATTATCTTAACACTTGAGAAGGCTCATAAATGCAATCTCTGAGATAACTTGGACTCGCCATTTAGGGATTGATAGGTTAGAACCAGCACTTTGGATTGTGTCAATTATGAAGAACAGGGCCAGGAAAAGGTTAATTAGGAAAGCAAGGGTGCACATCAGTCTCAGTATTTTTCCAATTTTCTGAGCTAACGCTATCTTCCAAATCAGTGGTTTCCAGTCTTCCATAAAGGGATTGATAGGTTAGAACCAGCACTTTGTGTCAATTATGAAGATCAGGTCCAGGAAAAGGTTAATTAGGAAAGCAAGGGTGCACATCAGTCTCAGTATTTTTCAAACTTTCTGAGCTAAAGCTATCTTCCAAATCAGTGGCTTCCAGTCTTCCATAACCCAGATGTTCTTGGACTGCAACTCCCAGAAACCCTGGCCAACACAAATAGTGGCAAAGGCTTCTGGGATTTGCAGTCCAAGAATACCTGGGTTACCGAAGTTTGAAAACCACTGATCTAAATCTATTGTCCGTTCTAGTTGTGGGACATAGCACATGGCAAGGAATGTGAGCAGCCAACTTCTTAGAACAGTGATAACTCATAGGAACTATAGAGAAATATTTTCTAGCACATGCGGGCAAAGTAATTTGGAACCAGATGATTGGCTAGAATCCGGCTGGATAACTCATAGGAACTATAGAGAAATATTTTCTAGCACGTGCGGGCAAAGCAATTTGGAACCAGATGACTGGCTAGAATCCGGCTGGTATTCATGTACATTTTGGAAAGTTCCTGCGGCTAATTGTGGCTAACTGATTGGGGTGCATCTCAGTGGCACAATCAAACATGTGATCATGCAGATAACTATGACATGGTCCGACACCTCATCAATTAGCCACAATTAGCAGTAGCAAGCTGCACAAACCTTATGCTAGCACAGATAGGATTGCGGCCACTGTATACAAGATTGTTGTGTGTTCACTTTGGAGAAATCCACTATCAAGACCTTCCAGGTTAGGACCAATGGAGAGAAAGCTCTTGACATCAACTGTTGAAGACAACTTCCTAGAGGAAGAATGGCAGGGGGCAAATTAATTCAAACTAGTTATAAATTGTGTTGATACCTTACATCCATAGGACATGAGGAGAGTGCCTTTCTATCAAAGTGGTTCCCAACTTTGGGTCCCCAGATGTTCTTGGACTA